GCGCTCGGCTTTCCAGGCCTCCGGGCCGCGCGCCCGCCCACGGGCTGCGGGTCTGGCCTCCAGGTGTGGACCTAACAGCGCCCTGTAGCCCTTGGAAGCGCTCTGACATCTCCGGGCTTTGTACTGCAAACTCCGAGCGCGTTGTAGTCCCGGAAGCGCTTTGACATCTCCGAAGTAGCGCTGTGCAAACTGAAGCGCTTGGTGATCGCGGAAGCACGTTGTGGGCTTGGAAACCGAATCGAACGAAGCCTTTGGTAAATCCTGCGATCTTCTGGACTTCTCCGAAGCGCTTTGGAATCGCCAACACTCGAAGCGCTTTGGCATCTCTGGAACCTTGAGAACTGTGATGGGCAGTGGAAAGAAGGGGAAAAGGTCAGTGATGGCAGCCCCTGGCTCTGACCTACTGGCTTGCCCTAGCCCAGGAGGTCCCGGGATAGCGAGAGTCTGAGGAGGGGCAGCCAGCAGGGGTGGTAGTGGACTCCAGGCCCCCCTCTCTACCTTGCAGGTGCCCATGGCGTCGGAGCGGCGCAAGGTCAAGTACCACTGGAACAGCACTTCGGAGCGGAATTCCCGCAAGCGCACCTGCCTCCGGGAGTCCAGTGATGTGGCCCCCTCCAGCTGGCCAGCTCATAGCTCTGCATCGCGTTCGGGAGGGGCCAGCAGCCCCAAGCGCATGAAAGCCCAGAAGGAGGACGATGTGGCCTGCACGCCGAGGTTGTCTTGGGGCTCATCCCGCCGCAGAAGTTCCTCCTCCTCCTCCTCCCATTCCTCTGGCCCAGGTGTGGGTGGGGCCGCCTCCAAAAGAGGCCTAATTCGGAGCTCACGGGGCTTCCTTTCGTCAGGGGGATCCCCTCTGCGCCCTGGCAAACCCTCTCTAGAAGAAATGGCTTCTCTAGAGGAGGAAGCCTGCAGCCTTAAGGTAAGTGGTTCCAACGCCTTGCAAACAGTGAAGCCCCTTCCACTTGGCCTGAGATGTTTGGGTGGGAGTTTTGGTGGCAGGATACTAAAAAGAAAAAGACCGTGTCTCTTGAGATCCGTGGGGTCTTCCTAGAAGTCTACGCGCAAACCAGACGACGCCAGGGGATGGCCTAAAAGTGCCGTGGAGAGGTAGTTTTCAAACTTGGCACCACTTGGGAACTACTTTAAAATCCTTGCGCCTTCCTGCCGCCCTGAGCTAATTATCCTGGGGGTGTGGGCGGAGCTTCCAGGGGTTTAAATAATCGTCAGGTGCTTGTAACCCGCAATCAGGAAGGAGGCTCGCTCGTTGCAGAGCTGGGTGGATGGCGTGCTGCACGGACACAGGTATATGTATTTTGATTGTAAATTTAAGGGATTGTGGCCTGTTCTTTGAACCACAGAGCCAAGAGTAAGAATTTGGTTCTCGGTGTGGCTTTTCACCGGAGTTACTGTTTCCAGCACGTTGGTGTTTCGTATGGTGGGGTACGGTTTGTCTTGGAGTTTAAACTTTTTAATTCCCCAGTGGGAACACACAGGAGTGTTTCATAATACTTGGGAGCAGACTGAGGAGGTCTTCACCGAGAAAGTGCATTTCTTTCACTCATTTTGTTTTTTCTTTTTTTAAGGATTAATTAAATTTTCTCAGCGTGTGCGCGCGCGTGCGCGCGCGAGAAAGTTGAACGCGAGTTTGGAAAGGTTCAGGTCTCTTGCTCTTTCCTGGTTGGGGAGAGGAGAGGAGAGGAGCCCTAGTTTATGTTGCTGTGTGAGCGTCACTCACCAATTCAGTCAGGTTTTGAACAGATACTTGTTTGTTTATTGAACCCAGGACCTCGAGCATGCTAAGCAGGCACTCTACCACTCAGCTATACCCTCCCCCCAGGTTTTGAAGAAATATTTATTGAGGGCCTACTTTGTGCCGGGCGGGCAGTGTTCTAGTAGCTTGGGATTCTCCAGGCTTTGCTTTCTAGGTTTTGGAGGTCTGGGCCCTCAGAGGTGAAGAGTTCTGTATGTGGGGGAAAAGTCTTGGGTGAGATGGGCTGCCCCTAGGTAAAGTTACTTTCCAAAAGCAATAAAAACCGACCTTAAGGAAAATGGTTTGTCCTTAAGCCTTTGCTCAGTGGTTTCTTATGTGGAACTGAAAAGTGAGGCTGTGTGAAGCTGTGTATCCTCACTTGAAGGCTGTTGTGCTTAGGTAAAGTGTTGCAGGTGTTTTCAGTGGGGACACAGAACTCTTGTTTGGGCACGTGGATTTTTTTTTAATTTAATGATGAGTTAAAAAGCTTTGTCTTTGACATAGGAATACTGAATATGACACAAATGTCAATCAGGTAAATATGAGGCTAATCTAATCTTGTCATCAGTCTGTCTTGATGCAGTTTCAGTGAATTTGGGTCCATCGGAAAATAATCAGTTGGTTAAATGTAACTTCACTAAGGAGAGCAGGAGAGGAGGCATGGCAAATGAACCTTGATTAGTCTTCAGGTGCGCTGCATTCCTGCCCCTGGCTGTCCTGTAGAGCCGGAACTTGAGAGTTGAGGGCGTGGCCTCTGTTCCTAATCCAATCACAGACCCATCTTATTCTCATTTAGGCCTAAAGGGCCTTGCTTTGTCAAAATCAATTTAATGGTTAACGGTGGAGTGATGAGTAATCTGGTCCTGCAAGTCCCAATGGGGTTCTGCCTGTGCCTTGCTCCCAGTGGTAAGCACTTGAGGGTTGTGTGCCAAGCACTCTGTTGGATGGTGGAGCCATGGGATGGCTTCTAAGGAGCACACAGTCTGGCAAGAGGACTGAAGAAGCCACAAGACTGCCTCACAATGTGGTTCAGTGAAGCAAAGAGCCCAGAAAGGAGGCTGGACAGCTAGTTAGGGGGCAGATTGCAGTAGGATGTTTTCAGCCAAGGGAATTTGGATTTTATTCTAAGCCATTGGGGAGTTTATACAGGGTTCCCTAGAGAGGGCAGGCAGATTTTTGCAGTTTTGGAAGACCACTCATGTTGAGTGAGGGTGGAATATGAGGATATTGGTATGATCCGTCCCAGCTGCCCTTCTCTAGCACTGCTGAGGGGTCTCCCTAGAGAGTGTTAGTTTGAAAACAAGGTACAGTACTTCACTCATCTTGATGAGTTGCAAAATGCCTCTTACCTTCCCCTATATCTGCACCTCTTCCCCTCTTTTCTGCTGCCGCTTGTAAACTTGTCTAGTTAAGTCCAAAGTTCTGCAGTGGGCACTGCTGAGGGGCACACAGAAATGTCCTGTTGTCCCCCAGCTCCTTCCAGGGTCACCTCACCACTCACCTACCTTCCGCCCACCCATCCACCTGCTCTTCCGCACTTGCTCTGTAAACTTTGAGGGGTACACACTTAGCTTTGTGTGCTCCCCAACCTTCACCTGAGCACCGAGGCCTCTGTGCCAGGTTATGGAATATTCAGAGGGCAAGATGTTTTGGTTCATCCTGGCGGCTATAACAAAATGCCACAGACTGGGTTGCTTATCAACAACAGAAATTTATTTCTAGAGGCTGGAAGTCTGAGATCAGGGTGCCAGCTTGGTCAGATGAGGGCCCTCTGCTGGGTTGCAGACTTCTTTTGTGTCCTCACATGGCAGAAGGGGGCAAGGAAACTCTCTTGGGTCCTCTTCCCTAGGGCGCTAATCCCCTCAATAAGGGATCCACTTTCATGACCTAATCACTTCCCAGAGGGACCCACCTAATACTGTCACCTTGGGGTCAGACTTCAACATACGAGCTCTGTGGAGAACACGTTCAGACCATAGCTAGACTGGGTATTCTGGAATCACTAGAGAGTCCTGCCGGCCAGCCTCTCATTGTTTGTGCCTTATTACCCCCAGGACAATTGTTTGCGAGGTTTTCTCAGGTTCTAATGACAGCTGATGATCTTCGTCATAGAAGTGTTAAATGTGTCTGTCATGAGACCTTCACCTGCCTTATGTTTGGTCTTTAATATGATGTATCTAAATTTCTAATTCAATTTAGGAAAGGAAGAGCAGAAGGGAAAATTCGAGCTTTTAGGATGTGCTAAGCCTTGTCAAATATGAGTCTCAGTATTTGAGCTATCGACTCTCAATTCTCCTTCTGGTGAAGCAGGCCATGTTACCTTTACATATCAGTTAACAGGTACTTAGACATCAGTTAACACACATTTGAGCATGTGCTATGTGTGGGCACTGGGAAAGTGAGACTCAGAAAGGTTAAATGACTGGAGCAAGGCCACGCAGCTTGTTTGCAGCAGAGCTGCGATATGATCCCAGATCAGTCTGACTTCAAAGCCAGTGTTGTTTCTACTGCTGCCCTCTGTGTGCCCTGCTCAGTCCTGGCCCAGTGTTGATGTGAGGAGTGGGGAGATGAAGAGGGCAAGACCCTTGTTCCCTCGAGGAGCTCTCTGCAAGGTCACGTGGCCCAGACTTGAGAAACCATTATGCATCTTAGCTCTCGAGTGACACAGCTTTCACGTGTGGTCCCAAGTCCTGAACCTTCACTCAGCAGGTGTCCAGTCTTGGGTGGAAGGCTGTGCCGGGACTAGAGGTGCAGAGAAGGCAGTGGTTGGAAGACTAGAAAATGATTCATCCCAGGGCTGTTCAGGAAGTGTTGTAACAGGATATTCGAAGTAGTGGGGGCCAGAGGAATAAGTGACTAACCACCGGGAAAGTCTGCATGGAAGAGGTGTCATTTGAATTCTCCTGATGGACAAGGAGAAGGAAAGGACATTTCAGGCAACAGGAACAAAGTGTATCCAGAAAGGGTCAGGAAATGCTGGTCTGATGCTTGGGACACTGCTTGCTCCTGAGGGCCCTCCTTTCCCCCTTCACCATCATTTTTCTCATTCCCGGGATGCCTGCGTGTGTGGAGAAAGGCAGGAGGTGACACTGGAAGGAAGGCTGGGTTAGGTTAAGCCAGCCTGGGAGGGCTTCCGGGGTCATGCTCAGGCAGATGCAGAGCCGTTTAAGGGTTATAAGCAGAGGTATGACATTGCCAGGTTTTAGAACTCCTGTTGGTACACTGTAGAGAAAGGATGGGAGGGAGCAGGCTGGGAGCTGCTGAAATTGTTCAGGCTAACAGTGCTGAGGACTGGAGCGACTTCTCCACGGATATCTCATTGCTAAGTGCTTGATCTATGAAATCACCCTTTCCTAAGCTCTGATTTTTTTTTTTCCAGGTTGATTCCAAAGATAGTTCTCGTAACTCCATGGACTCTGAATTTGCAGCTGAAGCTGAGGGTCAAAATGATACCATAGAGGAGCCAAACAAGGTCCAGAGAAGGAAGCGGGACCGACTTGGAGACCAGGGCTCTACGATGATCTACCTGAAGGCCATCCAGGGCATCCTGGGAAAGTCGATGCCAAAAAGGAAGGGAGAGGCTGCCACTCGGGCCAAACCCAGCACGGCAGAGCGTCCCAGCCGCCGAGAGGGACCAGCCAGGAGTGTCAGTGTGTCTGCTCCGCAGGAAGAGAAGGAGCCTGCCCCAGAGGTCAGAGCGGAGGAGGAGAAGGCTGTGCGCGAGAAGAGCGGCCTCCGCGACAGGAGAGTGGTGATAGACCCTCCGGGGAAGCCCAGCGAGGAGCCCCTTGGCGACCGAAGGGTGGTCACTGAGCAACGCTCTCCAGCCCTGGAGGTTTTGGATGATTCTCACTCGCATTTAAACAGCCCAAAGGTGAGTGTAGCTGAGGCCATGCGGGCCAAGCATGGAGTTTCTAGTTCTTTAAATGCATTTGGTCTTTTACTCACTCAGCACAGTACTTGACTTAACCGGGGCTCCAGGAGACAAATTGATGGTTCTCTTCTAACGTTACCTTTTGGACTTATTTGGAAACACCAATTCAGTGATACCTTTTTTTAGGATTTATATGTTTGTTAAGATACAGGTTTGCCTGTGTAACGAAAGCTGAAAATAACTAACTTAAAGAAAACAGATGTTTTCCTTAAAGACAATGGCTCCACAGTGTCAGGGGCCCAGGTGCCTGTGTCTTGACTCTCTGCTGCCCCTCAACCCAGTTTCCATCTTGTGTGAGATAGCTCCTGGGACAGGACTCAGCACGTCATGTTGACATTCCAGCCAGGAGGAAGGGGAGAGGAGCAAGGGACATTCCCTCCCCGCCTCCCTTTTTAAAATTAATTAACTTATTAATTTATATATTTTTAATTTTTTCCTACCTCCGTTTTTTTAAATTGAAATATAGTCAGTTACAATATGTCAGCATAATGTCCAGTCATACATATACATACATATATTCATTTTCATATTCTTCTTCATTAAAGTTTATTCAAGATATTGAACATAGTTCCCTGTGCTATACCCTCCCTATAAAAGCTTGGCCCAGAAGTTGTCCACTTGGTTTCTGCTTATATGTTACAAGAATCTAGAAACCTGGTCAACACCTGCAAGAGAGTCTGGAAAATTAACTTCCATCTGGAAAGCCTTACACCCAGATATACTTCTATTTCTGTAAAAAGAGAGAGTGATACTGAATGATACTGGAGGGAAACTAACATTTTTAAAAAACACTGCTTATGATTTAGAAGAAAAGGCATTCCTCTGTCCTGCCCATCCCTGCCCGTCCTTCACTGCTGCTCCTCAGAGGTAGCTCGTTTCATCTCTTTTAAAGAGCTCTTTGCTCCAGTACTTATCTCTGTATTTCTAAGTAATTTTGCATTGTTTATTTTTTAAAAATTTAGACATCTAGAGTTCTTACTCAGAAAGATGAGAATTTAGTTCTCTACACTTTGGCAGCATCCAGGCTCAGAAATGGATTCTCTCTCCCTTCCTGCAGTTCCCTGGGTCATAATACAATTTTTAGCTAAATCTATTAATTTATTATCACCACGTTCCTGGCTGAGTTATGTATACTCTGATTACGTTTCCTTTTTTAGAAAAGTTTTTCTTTCAAGTTCATCACCTTGTTTTTTTCCTTTATTTTTCTCTGTACCTATGACTACTTCATCCCCAAACTGCTAGTTCCATAAAGTTCTTCTCAATGTTGTCAAAATAAGTAATGTCCCTGCGCCCCCCTTTTTAAAGTGTACTCCCTTTAATTGTTTCCTTAAGATTCTTTTTTCTCCTATCTTTTCATCTCTGCTTTCTTTATGAATAATTAAAGTGAATGTGTATAATTCATACTTGAAGAATTTTCGACATACTTGATGTCTAAGAACACTGGCTTAGTGTTTTGAGTATTCCTTTCTTGGAACATCCTGTTCTTGTTTTGAGGTTACAGTACCTTCTCTTGTTTCTCTGAGAATATTGATTAGTTTATTTTGAAGATTTTTTTCTATACTGCTTTTTCTGAGTTTCCTTCTGATTTAAAAAATTTTTTTGGTTTCTGTCTTTTGTGGTAGGGCTTTCCTCAGAAGTTTTGGCTCTTTGTTCATATTTTAAGGATAAAGCATTAAAAAGCCAATTGGAAGTCCTGAGTGCATGGATGGGCTTGTGAACTACTGACTTCAACATAGTGTGATAACCTTGTGGGCTCTTGGTTGGATCTGTAGCTCTGTCCTCAGGCTGCTTGGTGTCCACGGGGAGAAATCCTCTGGTCCCCTGCCCAGGAGCACACCTGGTAGCTCGTGTTGTAGGAGTCAGGTTGAGGGACGTGCCTCATGTGATGGTCCCTCACCTGCAGACATGTGTCCGTTGTCCACGATTATTCCATAGGCTCCTTGGTTTAACTCTTCCAGGTGTGAACCTTAGTTCTTTTTCTCGGTGGGGAAGGAGCAGAGCCCCCTGTACAGGATGGGATCAGGGATCTGGGGCTCTAACTTCGCTGATTCTCCTATTTTCATCTCCAGCTTCACCTTTGTTTTGAGAGGTCTGGTACCTCCAATTTCTGAGTCTGTCTGGGGTCCTATATTGTGATTCAGCATGTTTCTGCGTTTTTCTCACCACAGGCCTAGGTTGTGGCCATCTGTGATCTGCTTATCCAGTAACCGACCATCCGTCTATTTGTTTTCTAGCATATGATTTTTAAATTTGCTTTGCTATTTAGTCTGTATGCTTTCTCTGTGAATGTTTATGCCTTTTCAAGTCCATTGCCTGTAGTTTTCAGAGTTTTTATAGGAGGAAGGACAAAACCCACGTATACTGTCTTTAGTTGGAAATCCCAAGAACAGTACATTTTGTAACCAACTTTTCCCACCAGATAAAGAACGTCTGTGTTTCCTGTCTAACATAGATCGTTCTTTGGCTGCTTAGAATTCCACTGTATGGATAAGCTTTCCAAACTTAGATACCCAGACTCCTGTTTGTCAGACTGGACACTGTTGGGTGTGTATTTGGAGGCACTGTAAGGTGGTAGGGAAGCATGTGGGTGTCGGGGTCAGACAGTCTGGGCTCAGATCCTGGCTCTGCCACTTGAACTGCAGTCATGAGAAAGTCACGGAACCTCTCTGAGCCTAGTTTCTTCCTCTGTATAAAAAGACACAGTTCTTTAAATGTTACCACAGAGTAACACAGGAATCAGCAGACTTCTTCTGTAAAGGGTCAGATAGTGAATATTTTAGGCTTTGGGGGCTTAATATGGCCTCTGCTGGAATAGCGTGAAATCAGCTTTAGGCAATATTTAAGCAAATGGGCCTGTGATCCAGTAAAGCTTTATTTACACCAGCTGGCAGTGCGTTAGATTTGGCTTTTGGGCCACAGTTTGCAGACCTCTGAATTAAACATGAAAATACTTTGCTCAGTGCCTAGTGTATAGTAGGCTCTCAAGAAAGATAGCTTTAAATTTTACCATATGGGCTTGAATCTAAGGAAGTCTTGAATATAGGTAATCTCCCATTTTCCCAAAAAGGAAATCCAAAAATTTTTTCCTGGCTAATGTGACTTTTTCCTGGCTTTCATTGCAAGAACTTAGATGATATTATTGTAAGTCTGTTTGTCATATTTCTAGGTACAAGTGCATTTTTTGAGTCACTGTTTTCCTCACTCTGCCATTTTTTTCCCCCACTCTCACATTTCATTAAATAATTTTATTAAACCTTTTCACATGTCTCTGACATTGTCTTTGTTGTCACTGGAGTTACTTTTGGAGTCATGTAATGTGATTTCCTGAACTTCTCTGATGATAAGAATGAGCAAATCTGACTTAGAATCTGAGATGGGACCTGGGAATTGGTAATTTGTTTTAACAAATAACCCGAATGATGGAGAAGTTTGTGAAGCACCCAGCGGACATCTCTACCCCTCTATCTGAGTTGGAATTTTATTTTAGCTTTATTATTTTTATGTAAACTGTTTCTTATGGAATATTTAAAGTATGAAAATTACCAACATACTTATCACTCGTCTTCAACAATTAATAACTCACGGCCAATCTTGCCTTGGGAGAAAAGGGATAAAGCAAAGCAAATCCCACCTACCATTATCACTTCATCCATAAATATTTCAGTGTGTGTCTCTAAAATTAGGGAAAAAAACAAACGTAAGTACTATATTCTCTCTCCCTCTGCCGCACACACACAGGCACACGCACACACACGGCTTAATAGCACAAGCCATCCAGTCTGATTAGATTTGCCTGTTTTGTGATTGTTTTTGGTTTGTTTGAAACAGGATCCGAGAAAGAGCAATGTCTCAATTTCTATGTGTTTGTCTCTTAGTCTCTGTAGTTTCCCCCTCCCCTCTCCCACCCTGTGTTGTCATTTATTTGTTGTAAAAGAAAAAAAAAAGTCATTTGATGTGTAGTATTTCCCGCAGCTGAGATGTCACTGGTGGATGGAGCACGTTTTGAATCTGTCTTGTTCTGTCCCTAGACATTTTATCCCAAATTGCAGATAGCTGTTCCCATTGCATTCAGGGAGTTTGCATTCATCTTTTGGAGGTGTTTTTTTGGGATTGCCACAGTGTAACCATTTCTAAATATTTTTTTAGGAAATATATTTCCATGGTTTAAAAATAAAACATAAAAATTATTTAGTAAAACATAGCTTTCCAGCCTGGACCTGTGTTGCCTTACTCTTGCACTTGGATACTACTTTGTAAGTTTCTCAGTTTTTCCAGTGAAATTTAATGTATAACCACTTAGATTTTGCTTTTTTAAAAGTAATCTTTAAAAAAAACTAAAAGCGATCTTTAAAAGTTTTAAAAATGACATCGAACACAGAACTTTGAGGTCATACCTCCAGGAATAATGATTAAGTCTCTTAGATTTCCTTGGTTCCCCTCACCTCCGTTTTTTAAAATATTGAGGTTAGGGAATCTCTATAAGCAGCTCAAATTAGCTTGACTGAGATTTATTTGTGATCATTTGTCATCTTCAGATAAAAGAGTACATCTTGTAATACAAGAGACTTTGTAAGGACTTAAATATAAAATGACCCCTCAGAAAAGGAGCCAACATTTTGGGGAGAAAAATCTTACCTTCTATTTGGGCGGGTTTTTTTGGGTGACTTTAGTCAGATTAACTTTTGTTACTGAAAAATGGCAAAATATATTTTGAAGAGCTGAATTGCAAAGATGTTAATTATGTGTTAGTGTGTGTGAAAGACATTTTAACTTTTAGGCGCACATACACAGAAGGAGAGTAATGACCCCAGTATATCTCACTGAAAATTCAGCGGAGAAAAAACTTGTCAAGTTCAGGCAAGACTGCAGTGTCTTATTGTCTAGGTTGGTGGAAATTTCCATAAGCAAGGTAGTGTGAAAGATTGTTCTCCCTTAGAAATTACCTTCTAAAAAACTTATGGGGAATTTTAAACATATTCAAAGTAAACAAACTAGTGTAGTGAATCCCTCAGGTTCCCATCACTCAGCTTCAGGAGTTTAGATTAAAATTTTTTTGTTTTTTATTTTTAGTTTTAATTTTAATTTTTTAGGGGGAGGTAATTAGGTTTATTTCTGGGGAGCGTTCTGGGGATTGAACCCAGGACCTTGTGTATGCTAAGTGTGCCCTCTACCACTTGATCTGTACCCCCCCCCC